AGTCCCCTCTTTCTTTACACGCGTTGGACCTGACTGAAAGAAGGCCTTTCTTCTCTATAATAAAATAGTGTATAATAACTGGGTGGACTGGTGGCTCCAGACTAATTTTGAGAGAAAGAGTAAAATTAACTGGGAGTTAATGTGATATACAGAGATTTGGAGTTACTATTACCAAATTGCTCATAGTATAGATAGTGTGCCAAAGGTCATATATTAATGTTGTGGAGCTATTCTTGAGCATCCCTATACTGTTAATCCAAAGGTAAAAGGTAAGATATAATATTATAGTATATTAATAATGCAGAAGCACTTTAAAACAGCTGGGTGTTTGAAGAGTGAGTAAGGGAAGAAAATAGAGATAACTGGATTTCTAAAGAGTAGTATATATTTTTTTACTTCCGCAGGTGTTTTTATAAAAACCTATTTTTAGCTATGTTTACTTTGCTAATTTATTTTATATACTAATATTAGAGAAAATCATCTGCTAATATATCTTTCTCGTAAAAAGCTTAAAAAAAAGATATTTTATAGTTCCTTACGCTTAATTAGCTTTTATTTTATTTTATTAAGTATCTAATATTTTAGCGGCTTATTTCTCAGGCTTACTGCGCCCTATTACTGCCAATAACCCCCTCTGTTAATATAATCTATTATTAATTAAGGAGCCTTGTTCAAGACTGGCAAGAGTGTATCTTTTAAACACTACCTGCTAGCGCAAAGATATTAATTGTACTGGATTGCTGGATGTCTCTATTCTCGCAGGTGTTTATAGCAATCACAGGCTATTTTATTGATGCTGATTGGGTCTACCGCGAGGTATTATTTGGGTTTAAGCCTCTGTACAGGATATATACTGGTATAAACCTAAGTAGCGTCGTTCTTCAAACTCTTATAGAGCATAACCTTGAATCGCGAGTGTTTGGATTAATAACAGATAATATATCTAATAATAAGATCTTGGTAGATTCTTTTTAATAAACTCTATTAGACAGTATTATTATTACCTGGATTCTATATCTTATTTATATTATTTAGCTTAGCCTTAACCAGCTTCTTGATCGTATTAAGGCAGTCCTACTAAATAATTCTGCTGTAATAAAATAAACAGAGAAATAATTAAAACTAGTTTAAGCAAACACGCAGTACTAAGGGTAAGAGATATCTTATATCTTAAATAAGGTCTGCTATCTTGTAATCTATGTGAATACAAGTCCTCAGCGCCGGGAGATATTTTATAATCTTTAAATATCAAGCGTGAAACTAGTGCCTATCTAAGATGTAAGAACTTAATAAAATTTAATATTTCTAATACTTTGTCAGGCAAAATGTCTATACAGTATCTTTATACTGTTTTGTGCGGAGTATGACTGCGAAGAGATATTACTTCAGGAAAAGGAGTGGCGCCAGATTAATTATTTTTTTTGTATTACTAAGCTATTCTTTAACTATATAACTTAGTTATTAAAGACTCGAGATGTTATAGTACATTATGTGTTTAAGATTTACAACAAACTCTTCAAGCATTTTAAGCAGTTAATAAAGCAGCTATGACGAAAATATGCTCCGTGGAAATAATAAATACTTTATGCACTAGAGGCTGGTCGGACAAAGCTTAATAAGTATTACTCTTAAACTAATTATATCCAAGGGTATATTTACACAGTTAGTATGATGTTGGCACTAGTAAATAAGTTCAAATTCTTTCTTACAAAGGATTGGGATTAGAAATGGCGTGATACCTATTATAAGTCTTTCTAACGGGCTTTTATTTTATATTAAGAGCAGCTTTTAACTTATAACCAGTTTTTAGACGGGTCTCACTTAACAGCCTGGCTAAGCTTAAAGCTTAATAAGATGCTAAATAAAAGTAAGATATAGTTAAATGTAGCAACTGACGAAATGACCCAATATCTTAATAGTAGTGTGTTTAAACTAAGTCTTTGCTAAAATATGCTAACTAGTTAATAAATACTATTCCTATTGCGCCTCTTGCGTTCTAAAGAGAGTACCAAACTTGCTTTCTAGTAATTGCTGCCCTTGCGCGGGATATACTCTCCTTCTCTGTAACTAGCGCAGGAGTTGAACGGCTCTTTAATACTGCTCGGGATATCTGTTATTATTATTAAGGGAGAATAAAATTACAGATGATTAAAAAGTTAATATTATTTTTTTGTATATCAAGATTTAATATGGAAGAGCAGGAGGCGAAGCTTTTTGAGAAGTTCTTTTTTTATAAGAAAATAGAATCTGTAAAGGAGGAGAAGGATAAATATTCTAATAAAATTAAAATAGATCTAATTAGTAATACTGAGGAGCAGGATACTATAATTAATAATAAGATAGGGCTAGATAAGGTAGACGAGGTATATGAGATGGGTGAAGCCTAAATACCACTGCCTAGGAACAATACCTAGGTACAGGTGTCAGGACGGAAGCGTAAGAGCTGTGATGATAATATCTTTGAGTATTATTAGTTAGATATCAGCCGCAGATAGAAGTATATTATATTTTGCTTTTTAATTCTTTAATATATCTTAGTTTTTCAGTCTTTCTCGTTCTTGCTTTCTCCCGATTTAGTTGTAAAGGAAATACTTAATATTACAGGTGAAAAATGCATAATTTATGTAGTCACGGGCCTTGGTATATATGTTATGTTTGTAACCCAAGTTGGGGCCCCGGACCCAGGCTGGGTTATCCAACTTTAACCCGGACCCAACGCTGGGTCGGAGTTTTCGACCCAAAACCCAACCCAGCCCGGGTTGGGTCCGGGTTGGGTCCGGGTTATGTTGGGTTGTGCGGAAGTCTAAGTACAAGGTTTAAACACTTTTAAAATAACTTACCTGTAGGGATTTTAGGAGTGTAACCTCCGACATATTCTAAATATAATATTTTATTCCTATAGAGTACGCTAGGCAAGTTAGCACTTTATATAAAAACAATAATAGATAAAATATACAATAAAATATCAAAACTAAATAAACAATAGTCAAGATCTAGTATATTTTCTCAGCACAAAAGAAAATAATTAAAAAAATAATATAAAAACTAATACCTACATATAAGCAGATACAAAGGTCTATCGAGTGGTTAAAGCAACACAGATAATAAAAACAAGTTAACTTATAATCATTTATACTAATATCTCGACTGATAAAATAATAGGTATAGAAACATATAATCACGGCTAAAAAAACAACTAAAAAAGATACGATATACAGAGCAATATAGATACTAATATGTGTAGAATCTTTATCCAACCTAATATTAATATTAGAAGATATCGCGATCGGCAGTAAGAATCTGGGGAATATTAAACTAACTTAAATATTACTAACTAGCATTCTAATTCGGCTCAAATCTCTTTGATATATAGTTTTAATAACTACAGTTCCAGGCAAAAATTAATGCGTATGTTTTAATTTTATAAGGTATAAAAAGAACCAAGGCATAGCTAATTAACGAGGTTAATCAATAAAAGATCAAATACTGCGTAGATTATTAGAGATAACCTAGCCTGTTAGCACTATTACTCGAATAAATTACAAAGTACCACTGAGTAAAAGTTAATAATTAAAAATTAGTAACTAGGGTCTGTCAGATTTTATAGATTAAAACTAATAAATAACTAATTACAAAGTTTCTTCTTCTAACAGTTGTTTCAGCCCATATACAGGTAGGCGGGAGACTACTACACAATCTATATATTATATAAAGAATTCAGCTGTCACTAGACAGCTGAGCATAAGTTATTATAAAATTACTACAGATTAATCTATTAAATAATACACAGTAATACTCCTTTATCCTCTCTTTACTCCTTAAGTTAACCCTCAGTGTCAAGCAGCCAGAAGAGGGCTTAAATAAAATAAATTTACTAAACTAATATTAGATAAAAATATTAATTAAAAAAGAAAAAGTATATTTCTATTACTAAATAGGAAATTACTGTCTAAAGCGGGAAAACAAGGCTTCACCCGGAAATCATGCGCTTCTCCTTAGTATCTGGTTAACGCGACCCGCGGTAGCAGCTAAATCAGGAAACCACAACTAACAACCGAGTATTAACTTATGTTAGGGAACCTGCTGACAGGTAAAAAAAAAGAAAAAAAATAAAAACACCAGAGAATTTTTTAATAGACTAATTAAAAAGCATAACAACAAAACAAAAATCCTAAGAGATATAGGCCTACTACTGTAGTTAAATAAAATTATGTCTGCCGTTAGTACCCAGCTCATGGCTAGAGCTTAGTAAGCACTAAACAGAAGCATTAAATTAACACTTAAGTATTATAACTTTTTCCTTCACAGACATTTCAACCTTAATTCCTTAATCTTTGATATTAATCATATACTGTTCTACTTGTTCTTCTATTTCATATATATACTTTTGCGCTTATTCTTTTATCTCATTTATATATTTATTAGCCGTAATACATACCTCAGAGTTACTATTATTAACCTATTCTCAAAATTCAGCTTTGTTCATTTTACATTCATCAAAAATCTAATCACAACACTTACTTACAGTATTATCAACAATATCATCAGTAATATATGATTTAAGGCGGCGCTCAATCATCTTATTAACATATTATTTAAGATAACTTATCTTAACCTTGGCAAACCTGACTTTCTTAAACTCAGCTAACAGATTATTATCTACATCTTTTGGTTTAGCCAGCAGATTTTAGTGTCCTGATTAAATTAATAGTTAGTAAATAAGATTATTAAAAATACCACAGAGATCATGCTCAAGACACATAAGTATATTACGCTCTGTACAGCTAGGAGAGGAAGTATGCGTAAAGCAAGTTAGGCGGATTGAGGACAGTGACGGGGAGAGAGTACTCGGCGTATTAACTTCGGTGGGAGAATCCATCGGTTGAGGGGATGGAAGAAGCAGTCTTTTCCGTCTTTCAATGTCAGGGGGCATTGACCATTGATCTATATACTATCAATGAGCCATTGAATGACAAAGCACAGGTCGGGAGACAAATTGAAGGCACGCCAATCTCTCTGGACTACGCCATGGCGAGCGTGGTCAAAAGGCTCGGTCTGAAGACTTTCTTCTCCCAGGGAACAAGAAAAGCTTCCCAGCCGATCGAGTTCTGAATTCACAAATTGTCGTCTGGAAAAGTATAGACGTAGGTGTCTGGATTAACAAATCTTTGCAAAAGCGTGGAAATTCAAGTCTTCTTGATTGGCGGGACATAGAGACTTCATCTTAGATGGACACAGAACAATGCCGGTCGTGTTGAGTCTCAGACTCAGCGTTGAGACTGCCGAAACATCGGTAACAGGCGCTTGAAGCATGGAGACTAAACTAGATGAACAGAGGCTGTCATTGCTTGTCCGGGTTAATACACTTTCTTTAACTCTTTCTAGAGAGAGATTCAACATCAGCACCTGTGATCTACCGCTCAGGTTAGCGAGGTCTATCATAATCCGAAAAAAAATAGATTCTTAATTAATAGTTTCATCGTGGGCAATACGAAGACAAGTAAAATAAAAAATATTAAAATTAAATATATAAATAAGAACTGCCTTCTTCAAGACCCAGAGTAGATTTTATAATATAATAGTTATTGTGTTACAAGATTCGCTAGATTAAAAAAAAACCTTTAATAAATCAAGTAGCCCTCCTACCCGGGCTTTAAAATAGCACTAAGTAGCCCTAACTCGCGTAAATTACGGATAATTAATTTTTTTAAGATAAGAGTAAATATTAAGAGCCCTTACAGCCTGGTCATAAATACATATCTAATCCGAAGTTAATAAGTAAGATCAGAGAGTCTTATAAAAATATAAAAATAGCAGGACTGGCGGCAAGAACAGTAAAAAGTAAATAATTTATTTATAACAGGATAACATTAGAAGGGGAGAATAAAGAAGAAATAGTTAGAAAAAATAAAAAACAGAGGAGAGGTTAGGCCTTAATTAAATATTATAGTAATATTAAATTGACGTAGACTCCAGTAACAACTTTCCTATAATATTACCTAATTTAAACAAGTTAGATCTGCTAAGGAATATATACAGCCAGACAGCCTCTATTAAGTATATAAACAGTAACACTAGACAAAATTACAGGTCTAAACCATAAAACTCTAAATTAATACTGTTCTCCTACAGGGGTCTAATCTATTCAGCTATCCTCTTTTTAATAATAATAATTCTAAGCCTATAGCACTGCAACTCCCCTTTTAAGCTGTTTCTTTTTTTATATCTAGACAATTTCGGAGTCTAAGCTTTACCTGATAATAAAAAGTAAGGTTATATTATAAATAATATCTTATTATATCTTTTTTTTAACATATTCTATCTTCTAAATTACAAGTCATATTTCTTAAAGTTATTAATAAGTAATACTGCACCTGGAAACTTCCTCAACCCTATTATTATTAATAATAAAAGTACCACCTAATAAAAAAAAACCCAGCCTCTATTATCCCATACTCTAATTAATATGTAAGAAGAGAATAAATCCCCGGTAGATAATATAATTCCTAATATATTATGTGATTTCTCTTAGACTATTAGTCAGGATACTGGCAGTTAATATAGCAGCCCGTAAGTTTATTCTTGGGAGTCTAATTACTCTCAGACACCTAAAAATAACAGATATAATTATATTAGTAAGCTTATATTCTATTTTTATGTTATTACTTATTTATTAACCTTTTAATAAACTACTAATTTAAGATTATTATAGGAACAAGACTATACCAGTAGAAGCCCGCAGATACTAAAAATACCATTAATAAATAGTAAGTTAGAGTCTTCTAATCTATACTAGAGATAAAGCTAAGGGATTTTATAAACACCCAGGGTTCTTAAAATTTAATATTTCTATTATTAGTTAGGGCTAAGGTCCTTATAGACCCTTTAGTAGGTTATGTGGCTTAAAAGCAACTTTCTAATAATAATATAATATTTCTTTATATAAAGCTAAAGTAATACTCACAATCTAAGTAAAAACAGTAAAACTAATAATATTACTACAGTAATAGTTTCTAAAATTATTTCTCTTTTTTTTTCTTATTTTTTTAAAATTATATTATCTTTAGTTATCTCCATACACAAAGGCCACATATCATTTCCATAGATTTAGATCCTAATTAGGTAATAAGGCAGTGGCTGAGGCCTATAATCCCAAAAGTTTTTAGTTCTTTTAGTTTTTTATCTCTGTTAGTCCATAAGTAGCCCGCTGTCCCGCAATCTAGGCCCAGAAGACCACCTTGGCTACAGATTAATTAAGTAAGTTAATAAAACAATAAATAATATTATAGCTCTTAAAAATTAATAATCAGATACTAGTCAGGCTATATAAATAATTTAAAACAGGATTTAATAAACAGTAATAAAAATTAGAATAAATTTAAGAAAAGGTCCCACCTGTCTCTAGGATTTCCTAGATAAAATCCGGGGGGCACAGCTTATTTAACTCGGAAGAATAAATAGTCCGGTCTTATAGTTATAGATTTATTTTAATTACTTTCTGTAATAGTCTGGGGGGAGAAACAGTACTCCGAGGTAATTATATAATTTAAGAGATAATAGGTTAACCCAATTATCTAACAACTAATATAATGTCAAATGTAAAAAGAAGAATATCCTTTATTTATTAGTATAATAAAAGTAGAAAAGGCACTTTAGGTACACTCTAATTCTTATATTAATTATTAGTTAGTAAGGACTTTTATGTATAAATAACTAATTATAATAAAATATTCTTAGGAAACTATAAATAAAATCGGACTTTAGGCTAATTATTTATTTAAATATTTATAATCACTACTGCCTGTTATATCTGTTTATTAGACAGCTGCTACTGGATATATACAGAAATCCGCATATTAAAATTATTATATAAGGCCTGCTTGTATTCTAAACCATCCAAGCAGCAAAAAAGCACTAAATATCCAGTCAGGAAAATAACTTAAATCCCACACTTTTTTTACATATCATCTATGATTATCTCCTCTAAAACTCCTATTTTATAGTCAACTAGCCCCTCTGGCTCTAAATAGTCACATATTAATATAATATGTTTTATTAATTTTTCTAAATACTATAGTAAAATCTGGAAAAATTCGATACTTTTAATTTTATCCAGAACAAACTTTCTAAATACTAGCCAGTAGTAGTTGAAACTATTCCAAAATTAGATTGCCTTGGTGTTATAAAACTTCTAATATTCTAAATTAACATATATGTCCGGACTCAGGAAAATGTTTATTTAAATAGTCTAAAGTAATATACTGTTTATACAACATAGTGCGCCAGCCGAGCTAGCTAGATCATTGTTTACAATTACTACCAGGGCTGACCCTAAAAGATCAAGAATAAACTAATATTTTTTAATTGTATTAACTAATATATTTTATATAGTAATAAAGGAAAAAGCCTCTTCTAAAAAAAAGGATGCCCGCTAAAAAGCTGATATTCTAGAAATAAACTAATTAAGTAAAAGTTATATATCCCTAAGAATAACAAGAAACTGCTGGACTTTATAAGAGTTAGAACAGAGTATTTTTACATAAGATTTTTTTTCCTTAATAACTTATTATAGGATTAAATATACTTGACCCTAATAGGAACTAAAATAAAACCAAGGCTCTACAGCCTGCCAAGGACCTAAAGTACAGAACATAGATCATAACTAGACTTATCATTATTTAAAATAAACCACAGATTCTAACATTATCTCAGTTATATATAAATATGTAGGAAGGCCTGTCTCCGCATATATATACTATTCTTACTCTAAGAGAGGGAATTTTAGTTTGTTTATATAATAACAGTTAAAATCATTACTAAATCACCCTATTACAACGATTATATTAATAAAGATCTAGGATTTAATATTATCTTTCGCGTAATGTTATTTTGTAACCGGTGTAAAAGGTAGTCAATAGGAACATACTAGTAGTCGGAAACTAGGTGTGAACTTTGCTGTCGCTGTGTAAGGACTCGCTGGACTTTACACACTTCCAACTGAATTTACCGTTTCTGAGCTGCTGAATACGTTCCTTTAAGGTAGAAGGTGCTACTCATGATCTGATGGCCTATAAAATCCCTTAGAATGTGAAAGGAAAACATTTCTACATAACAAGACTGCATACACCTGTCATTCCTGATACAGTGATTTTTTAATTCAGCATAACACAAACTAATAAAGCCAGAAGACATGACTGGTACTGATGTGTATAACTTAAACAGCCAGGGAGCTGCTAGAGACAATCTGAGGGAAAAGAGGCACAGCAACCAACCTGTAAAGGCGATGATGAATAAAACAACTCATACATTGCAGATTCGACACTGGGGGATATCTCCCGAATATACGTCTCCTCTGGAGTTTCAAGTGCATAATAATCGGTCAGATGGACAAGGTTTATTAATGCCGCAGTATATTCACTGTTCAACACCACAGACTCGCTTTTGAAATAAGTGTTATATACTTCAACAAGCTTGTTGATAGTCTCTTCAGTTAGCTTAAGAGCAAATTATCTAAAAGATTATATATTAATAGGCGTTAGATATACTTCAATACAAATCACAGCACTTGTTATACCCAAAGATTTATTAAATAATAAATTAGTAATCATATTTTGTAGCTCTAAAGCATCAGAACTTTACAGTTTATTAAGGTTTATAAAAAAAAGACTCTAAATAAACTAGCATATAGCATTTTTAGTTATACTTATATTTAATTAATTAGGTTGTTCATTTTGACTAGAATCAACACTTAACTTACAAAAGATAAGGAAAGTATACATACTATTTTTATTATAAATAATATACTATAAGACTCGACGCTTGATATTTCAGGTAAAAAACATACTAGCTAATATAAAAGCTAACTTTAATAATTTTATTCCGCGAGTATATATTTCTGTTTAATATATATTTTAGACAGGGATTACCTCCAAAACACTACAAAAATTAGCTAGGATAAAATCCAGAGACTTAAAATAATATAACTTCACTTTAATATTACAGCAATTATCACAGGCCAGTTTATTCTACTAGAGAAATCAGCATCTATATTATTAAAATAGTCCTCGTATACAAGAGTACTCTTTTCGGGACGGCTCCCATAAAAACAATAAATAAAATAATAAAGTAGTCTAAAATAAGGGCAATTATAAATAAGTATAAAAAATCTGCTTGGTTTCCTGGTAACGGTGGCCGCCCCTAACTTATATATTCCATAGGACTCTTACAT